TGTGAATTTGGTATGTTAGTAACGTTTGATTTATTATTTTATTCACATTATTTATTAATATCAGATGTAAAGAATGTTTGAGGCAGAATCTGAGATTATTTAATGTACTACTTCGATATTATTGATTCTAACCTAAAATTTTTGGTTTTCATACGTACAGATTGCTGATTGGATGCTGAAATCAGTTTGAAAGAACATCTCGATGGTTGTTGTGTAAATTTGGTACATTAACGTTTGATTTATTATTTCATTCACGTTATTATCTTATATTATTTCATTCACATTATTATCTTACATTATTTCATTGATATTATTATCTTGTATTTGATCATTGATTTTACCTGAAAGTTGACATCGAGGAACAACAAAGGACGTCAAAGGGACCACGAGGGACATTGAGTGACTTTGAATGTACTGTATAAATGTATAATTCGCAACTGTATGTACCATTATTGTGTAACACTTACCTAACCTGGACGAATATTTCCCAACTATTTCCAAATAGGTGACAAAGTATGTTCGCGCGTTTTACTCACCATCACTTTTCAATAACAGTACGTAGTAGCGTGTTGTTAAAATTTCTTACTCCGAGTTCGAGTAGGCTGTAAGCCGTGTATGTGTGCTTGTCTTGTACAGTCACGTATGAGATGGAGCTGTCCGGCTCTTTGGCTTCTTTGGGAGTGCCCAGCAAGTGAGCTTGAGATTTTTGGACACATAATGGTACGTATTTTGAGCGGTAGTGAGTTTTCTGTTCCTTGTTTGATGTCCAGTCTATCTCAATTAGTCAATGCTTTGACAAAGTATTATGTTTTATCATGCTCGTTGGGGAAGTATGTAATAAGCTATATTTAGTAACTAATTTTACTACATAATTCTACAAATATGTAGAATTATTGATTAGTTTTTTCTTCAAAGATGTTTTTAAATCATATTAAATAAGCTTTTCAGAAATTTTATGAATTCAAATAATTTTACAAACATTAAAAAGAGTCTTTTCAAAATTGAGAATACCGTGGACCTAAAGATTAAAGTTTCGTCTGTACAATGACCTCTTAAAATTTTGTTATTGTTTTATTGTTCGAACGAAAACATTGCTTGTCTGACGAATTCGTAACAATCCAAATATCGATAATTTTTCGTTTAAAAGAATTTTAACTTTTCACGCCAATGTAGATTCGATTGTTTCAATAAGTCAGAAAGTTATTAATAAATTAATCTTATCCAGAGAATTTCGTTTTCACGTTAAGACTAACGTAAATTTCTCTCCATATTCTTCAACTTCGTGTTTCAAATTCACAGCAGAATGCGTTCCATAAAACTCTTAAATGATTCTCTATTGAACGAACAAATCGTTCGCAAACGAACAGATTAAACTTCACATTCATCGTTTCTGTGGGAGGTTTGAACTTCAACCATCATAGACGTTTGTCTATAAATTAATGATACGTTTCTGGCCATAAATTCCCCGGAATTATAGTAATGCTGGCGAATTACTCGCTTCGTTAACTTCGATGAAACCGGTGGTACATGAGCGGTACTAATTTAGATTTGATACGCCGTCGATCAAATAACGTGATTACAGGTTCGATATCGCTTGATATGGTAATCGACGTGTAAATGCTCGAGTTCATTAACTCGTTCTAATTCTTTTCTTTCTTTTTTTTTTTTCTTTTTTGCTTAGACGATATTTCGACGAGTCGTTTAGATACTTTCTACGCGATTCAATCATCTAGTTAATCTAGTTTCTGATTACTTGGTAAATTTTATATTCACGTAAATTCTGTATCTTCTGAAAGTTTCCGCATCGTCGAGAATATTTTGATAGAATTTTA